CTCAAAAACTATAATAGATAGAATGAATACAATTTATACGTATGAAAGCTGAATGTTTAGGGAATCCATCAAGTATAGATACATTTCTGTGCTCTTATCCATATTGCTGTAATACGCGTTCAAAGTTGAAAATTAGAACGTTGGAATGTTGATTTTGAGTTAACAGTGATGGATGAAATATACATATGTACTGGTGATGTAACGATTCTTTTGGATAGCAATCATACAAAAAGAAACGCAACAATCGTATCAGCAGGCTTGTTGTTGTGTTTGATAAGCCTAAATACGGTCCTGATGGACAGAGCGGAGAAGTGGATGGATGAACGTAAAATCAATGCGAATGACGTCAGTCGTGTTGGGAAAGGGGGGTGGGGGGTAGGTAGGTGCGTGCGTCGAGACGCTCGCGAGGGTCGTCGGGGCGCGCGCGAACCTTCGTCGACGTCGACGTCCTCGCACCGTACGTACGTTCGTGCATACATACGAGTGTGTTCGAGGATGCCTGTCCACTGGGTCATCGTCGTCTCGCTCTGCGTCGCGCTCACCACCTCCGTCCACAGTGCAGCAGCATCCGCTCCGAAATCATCTTCGAAAGCTGCTGCTGGTGGCGGTGGCGACGTCTTCAGCAATTCCTTTCTGGTGCGCTTCGGAAGGGACGTCGACCCCGACGAGGCCCACCACGTTGCGGTCAGGCATGGATTCGTCAACATGGGACCGGTAAGTGTTCCGCAGCGAACAGCTGTTGGTTTCGGAGGATACACCTAAGTCTGTAACCGTGTTTCGACAATCAACAACCTCGACCGTTCATCAAATATCGATTTTTTCCACATGAAAAGCAAAATAAAAATAAAATCCCATGTACGTATGTAAGTGGAAATTTATCGCAAGAAGTAGCACTCCGCCATATTATATAAACACTTCCATATGTTTTATTTGCACGAGCGAAACCAATTCCAATATTATCATTGCATTGATTTCAAACACATACACAACATATGGATTCGCAATTAAGCATTTATAATTGATGCATCAATTACCCTATATTCATTACAAACAAACACTTGAGAAACACTGTTTTTTTTTTTAATAACTATTTATTCTAAATACTATTACTTTTTACATAAAACATATGGAAACCCACACTACATATTAATACATTTTTGTAATTATTTTAATTATTGTAAATAGTTTAATTTTCATTGAAAAATATTAATTATAATTTATTGACCTGAAACATAAAACATAATTGCATTACAAACAAAAAAATAGCTTTTCCCAAATTGTATTTTTTTGTGGATTTATTTAGTTGGAAGACCTAATACAATACCTTGAGGTATACCAATTTTTTCGAAAGCTGAAACCGCAAAAATTGTAAAAATATAATATAAATTATATCGTGTTTTAATATTATTTTATTGTTACATATGTAATTTATTTTATTCTATATGATTTAAATAAATATTTTATAGAAAATTAAATATAAAATAAGATCTTTAAACTTATTTATTTAAAAGAAGATTCAAATAAATACATTTAATAAACTTAATTAAACGAAACGTTAAATGTATCATGAAAGTATCATTCTTTCAAATTTTTTATTTTATTCCAATTGAACCGAATTGATAGCTTCGACGTGACTTTTAGTCGAATAATTTGAAGCCAATAAATCAGGCGCTCATCCGTGAAACAGTGTACAAATTCAAAGTATCGCAAAATTGCATTTCACATCCAATAAACTTCTTAGTACACTCGAATTCCATAAAAGTTAAAGATTGATTCGACTTAAAATCAATCATAAACTGTCTTTATTTAAATAACTAAAAGCTATAGCTCATAATATTCAACGGAGTAAAGTAAAGAAACTACTGAAAAATGGACAAAGCAGAAGTTCAGTTCAAAACTTTATTTTTTATTTTAATATTGATGTCAATGCGATGGAAATTCGCGTTTTCTTTTCTTGTGGATTTCTTCCATTCCGTTTGTACGCCTTTTTTTTTGTTGCATCGACTCGGAGGAGCGCCAATTTTCCAGCCGACGCGAATTCAAGATGAACTCCTTTTATGTTTTGAATATATTTGCTCCGTTCGCTTCAGCCCAAAGTAAATATTAATAAAAAAAAAACGTGCAGGCTTTCGAGAATCAAGCTTTCAAAGTCAAATCATAAAATCATAAAAAAACGGTTTTAACGATTAATTCCATATGCAATTAATTTATTTAAATTAGTTTAAAAGCCGTAGAAAACCCAATTTTATTTGTGTCAGGAATTTAATATTGCGTATATTTTGCGGATGCGCCGGGCAAATAAATTGGATTTGTGTTTTTGAAACAGGAGTGTAAATACCTAAAGAACAAAAATACGCTTTTAAATTTCTGCAGGCCATTGAATTTTTCATTTACTAATTAATGGTTTAATTACTTTGAAGCTATTCGAAGAGCAATTAAGGGCTTCATCGATTGAAATTTTAATTTGCTCAATTAACACACAAATTTCGTAAATATTATCAAGAAAATGCCTTTTTTTCTGTTTTACTTTTAAATAAAGTAAAGTGTACAATTTACATGATACAAACTTAGAAAACTATTGTCGATTTTTTTTATTTATAATCTAGTTTTAATAAATATGAGAAAGCGATTGAATTTGTCGATAATTTTAAAGATTCTTCAGTACAAGAATTTTCGACACAATGAATTGAAATCATTAACTGTTATTTAGTTGCAAAATTTCGTATTTTCGGTTAGAAATAGCAACGAAAAACAAATTATTACAAAATTTTACATATTAAAATACAAAGTTTTACACTCATTAAAACTTATATTAAAATATGATTGCAATTTGCATACATGAAACGTCAAGACATTATTTGATTAAAATCTTCGAAAGAATATTACAAAAAAAAAAAATGGGTCAGTCAAAACGCGTTTTAATTAAAATTATTTTTTCTTTACTTGAGTAATTTAATTTTTTTAATTAAAACATTATTTCTACGCGTTACACGACGTTTCGTATATTATATTTTCAGACACAAATACACAATTTCTTTATCCATTAGCATAAAGGTGTAAAAACAGTTTCAAATAAAGAAGAAACATCCTTTGAAACCATATATTTTTTTTTGTTCATGTTCTTCGTTTTATAGGTTTTGTCGGTGAGAACTTAACGCTCGGTCATTTCAACACTTTTATTTTTTTTGTAATGGAACGTTTGTTCAGAGAATTGAAGTTCAGCGAATGGAATTTAAATAAAAGTGTACATGTGAGTGAATTCGCATTTTCAGTACTTTAAAAGACAGTCAAAACAACGTTTATTGCACTTATTATGTAATGGATTTGATGTTACTTTCATTAAAATCAATTACTCGAATACAAAGAGACGTTAGCTTTAGGGTAATTGTGTATAAACGTTTACTTTGTTGTCTTTTTAAAGTTTTCAAAGTACAAATTTACACTTATTTTCAACTTTATGTAGGAAAACCAAGTTTGAATTCAGTAATACCAATATTCAAATATTGAATATTATTAAGTTTTAACTTAATTATTATGAAATTTATGATTAAAAACTTGAAGTGACTTTAGTTAAGATTTATTGAAATCGAAATTGCGAGTTTTATATCCTATGAAGAAAAAAAAACGCAGACGAAGTAACTTCAATTTAAATTTAAATAAAAGTGTACATGTGAGTGAATTCGCATTTTCAGTACTTTAAAAGACAGTCAAAACAACGTTTATTGCATTTATTATGTAATGGATTTAATGTTACTTTCATTAAAATTGTGTATAAACGTTTACTTTGTTGTCTTTAACAGAAACACTTTTAAAGCATACATTGCAGGTTTTATGACGCCCAACATCGCTTTAAACAACAATGTAATGCTGTTTTTTTAACATATCCAACAATGTTTCTTGCATGAATATAACGTAATAAAATGGTGTTTTAAATACGCAAATTTCATGAAATGTGGACGAAAATATAAATGTTACATAATAAATGTCAATATTATTATTTCAAATTAGTGTTTTGTATGAATATCAGACATATTTACCCGGCGCATCCACTGGAAATGATTAACACAACAGTGAAAACTTATTTTCTCACAGAATGAAATTACTTTTGGATAAATATTTGTATTTATTTGGAGTCGATTAATTGAGTTATAGTTATATTTAATTGGTTTGATAAATTAAGATGTCGTTAAATTTATTAAGTCCATTAAGCGGGATTTTAATGTGTTGTTTGCGATTATAGTTAGTCACGTAATGATGGAAAATGGAAAAGGTTTCGGTGGAAACGAAGGTCTGGTCCATTAAAATTCATCATCATCGCGAGGGCGGAAAATCTATCGATGCGACAGCATCAAGAAACCTTTCTAATTTTAGCCGCCCCAGCGAGAAACATCATCCGATCTATTTTAAGCACACGCATCACTTATACCCACACTTTCATCTCTGTTTTTCTTTTTGATGCTGTTGTTCGATAGCTGCTGGGCTCACGACAAGAGTACCATTTCGTCAGCAGGGCCCTTCCTGCAGCGAGGACCAAACGCAGTATTCCGCACATGCGAAAACTCAAAGTTGATCCATTGGTAAGTTCGAGGATCAAAGAGTCCTCGAAGCGGTTCATTTTTTTGTTTTGTAACCATTTTGTTTTCGTGTTGTGTGTAGATTCACTCGGTTGTCCAGCAGCCAGGATTTACGCGCGTAAAGAGAGGTTACAAGCCTCTTCGAGTGGAAAATTTGGTGAAGAATATACAGCCTCACAAGGATCCCACCGATCCGTACTTCTCGTTCCAATGGTACCTGAAGAACACCGGTCAGAACGGAGGAAAAGCTAAGCTCGATCTCAACGTCGAGGCGGCTTGGGCCCAAGGCGTCACCGGCAAAAACATAACAACAGCGATCATGGACGACGGTAAGCGTTACCATGATAACGAAAATCAATGGATAAACGTCATCATGTAATCAAAATTTCGAATTAATATATTTGTTATCTCAGGTGTGGATTACATGCATCCCGATTTGAAGTTCAACTACGTAAGTCCACACTTTTCACAATGGTTCAATAATAATGATTGACACAATTTCTTCTTCGGCTGCAGAACGCCGAGGCTAGTTACGACTTCAGCAGCAACGATCCTTATCCGTATCCAAGATACACCGATGACTGGTTCAACAGGTGAGTCACTTATAAGTCTTCAAGTTTTGCTACTTTATAAAGTTTTCAAAGTACAGATTCAAGTTTGAATTCAGTAATACCAATATTCAAATATTGAATATTATTAAGTTTTTACTTAATTATGATGAAATTTATGATTAAAAACTTGAAGTGACTTTAGTTAAGGTTTATTGAAATTGCGAGTTTTATATACTATGAAAAAAAAACTCTTTAAACTTAAAGTTACTTTTCTAAATTTCGTAGAAATGAAATCAAATTGAAAATAAAGTTAAATCAATAAAACTAGTTTTGCTACTTTATAAAGTTTTCAAAGTACAGATTTACACTTATTTTCAACTTTATTTAGGAACATCAAGTTTGAGTTCAGTAATACCAATATTCAAATATTGAATATTATTAAGTTTTTACTTAAGTATGAAATTTATGATTAAAAAGTTGAAGTGACTTTAGTTAAGGTTTATTGAAATTGCGAGTTTTATATCCTATGAAAAAAAAAAGAAAAAACTTAGACGAAGTAACTTCAAACTTAAAGTTACTTCTCTAAATTTCGTAGAAATTAAATCAAATTGAAAATAAAGTTAAATCAATAAAACTAGATCAATTTTGTATCAACAATTATTTACTATTGACTATAATATTAGTTAATAATTAAATAACTGTGCTAACATTTTTTTTTTAAATATTAAACGAGAATATGAAAAATCTCGTCTTAATTAATTATTTAAAATTTGTTTAAAAAAATAATTCTAATATAATAATTAATTTAAGAATCTCTTTTATTTTCTCTTTCATTGTTTTTATTCATTTTAATATTAGATAAATGTTGAGTTAAATTAAATTAATCAAACATTTATAAATTTGATAAGAAAATAGTAAAAATAAAGAGATTATTGAAAAGTCGTTATGAAAAATGAGCTCAAATTTATTGAAAAACAAATAATTAAAACTTTCTAAACTTTTTCACGTCACTACACATCTCACAAGAATAAATAATGTCACTGTCCAATTTAACAACAAAACATTTTAATTGTAAATTCGATGTATTGGAATTTACACCATCATTTAATTATATGCCACACTTACTAAATGGGGAACTGAAATTCTGTTCGGAAACTCATGAATTCAATGCAATTAAAAATGCGAACTATTTGCAGATAATAATATCGTACATTCAATTCCTCTCAGTTTTGCAAATAAGTGTATTTTACCACGGACAAAAGTGTTTGAGCATAATTAGAAGTCCCTGCGTATTCCAGCGGAATATTTAAGAAGGTATTGTTCCATTGTTCGCATTTAATAGGAAAACGACGGTTTAAAACTTCTCAAAAGAACCTTCCTCCAAGTGTCCAAGTATCACTTCAATGTCTATAAATTCTTCGTAATTTTTTAAAATTAATTTTCTTCCGTCCTAAAAATAAAATGAAACACTTTGGATTTTCTTAATTATCTCAAAAACTAATAAAGAAAACAATACGTAAATATTTTTTTTTGTCTTTACAATAATCTCGTGAAAATTGAATATTATAAAGTATCTC